TGTCTTTGTTTTTCGGGTTTTGGCAAACACATTCTCATATTCTGTATTATTGCTATTATCTCGGGGGGAGTCTTACATATAAGATCTGTAAAGTTTCAGTGTAAACTGCAACAGAGGCAGAAGCTGGCTTCCACTTCGTTTTATTTTCGAATCGGTGGCACTTACCGGTTATTTGCATTATTCTCATTGAGCGGCTGTTCCACTTCGGTCTTGGTAACGACACTGATGGAACGTGTCATGCGACGGGGTTTCGTACTGCCCTCCTTATAGCCAAGATTCTCCATGGTGTTGACGGCGATGACGATGGCCAGTCGATGGTTGGTTGTCGTTCTCGTTGTCGTTGTCGCTGTCGCTGTCTTTGTCTCTGTCGTCGTTGCTTTTTGTTGGTGAATCAAAACGCGCAAAAATGCGCTAAAATACTCAACGGAATTCAATGCACTTTGCGGCTAAGACCGTTGTCGATGCGTTGCAATTGCCAATAAATAAACGAACAGTGTTACTTTCCAAACGGGGATCGAAGCGTTAATTTATAGCCCAATTTTCATACTGGATTGAGTCTCTGCAAAAGATAGTTTGGATGGAAAGTTTATAGGCTGGTTGATCGCTCCCGCAGAGCGTCCAAGTCCAACTGAATGAAAGAGATCTTTCCAGTTTACTTTCTTCTAAATATCTGCACAAATATGAGGCTACTTTTGGTTTATTTTCGATTGGGAGAACTAAGAGTAAAAGGCTCTGGACTCTGTCTTCAAATTTTGGCTCTGATTTGCGTTGAATGCGACACTCCACTCCACTCGTTTGGCGGTTGTTGGTCTGTTATCTAAGCGCCTGCCTGCCATTTGACGCAGCGATAAGCCGCCTCTACCAGCATCATCATAGCATCATCATAATCATAGTGATAGCCAGACAATCTGGGGAGATTTATCTTCAAGTGCTACTGGTTCTCGTCAAAGGGGGATGTCTCTCTGCCTTTTTTCTAGTACTATTAGCCCCTCTCTAGACCCCAACCATGCACTATGTTTGCTTAAGTTTTTTGCTTGCTTTTTGTTTGTTCAGATTATTTACAATTTATGTCAAAGAGAGAGGCAAAGTTTACAGACTTATTCATTCAGTGTGGAGTGCAAATTACTCTAAAAGCAGTCCAGGAGCGGTTTGAGAATGGAAGTTAAGAAAAGGTTTCTAAAAGATTTTTGTATATATTCTTAAGAGCTGTTTTTTTTGCTTCTTTTTGTTGTGCTTCTATTTTAATCTCTTTCTTATTTCCTGTTTCTTATCTTAATCTCATCTTTTGCTTATCTTTTCGTTAGATTATTTTATTTATTGTTTAAATATATATATGTATATCTTTAGATGTCTTATGCCCGAAGAAAACTGTAAGCAGAGCTGTGGAAAACTATGACGAACTAATTTTCTAATATTTTCACAGCTTATTGGCACAGAATCGAGTTAATTGTTGTCTGAAATCTCAAATCTCAATTATCCAACGAAGCGTTAAGCTTGTTTAGGTTCCATTTACTGGATTTTACATCTGGCATCGTATTACCCCCAAGAATTTCTGGGAATCTTTTCAACCAGTTTCGCAAAAATATAAACAAAAATAAAAAACACATAAACAATCGGCATTCAACAAAAAGAAGAAGTTGAGATTGTTTGCCCAGCAACTGAAAAACTTTCTTTGCGTAAAAATTGTTGCTGACTTATTGGACAAATCTGGTGATAAACAAGGCAGGCCAAAAGATCGGAGACTGGGCTGGCTAAATTATGCGAGCAAATTAATCAAATTCTGTGCGTAGTTGAGAAACCAGTTTTCGGAGCTCCATAGACCAGAGGAGATCGATCTGTTTTGGTCTGCTGGTTATCGTTTGTCTGTGGCCACAAGGTGCGGGGGGCAAGGGAGTCGCTTCGCGTCGAGTCCAAAAGTCGCTAACATCATAAACAAATATTGGTTTTAACAAAAACGCCCCCGTGTGATTACAGTTTGCAGTTGCAAACAATTAATACATTTTTGATGAATTTTTCGCACTGACAAAAAGCCAGAAGGTACGAAAAATAGACCTTTTGTATTGTATGCTTTAAATAGAGCAAATGATTATCGGAGAGTGGATCGGAACGGAACGGAGCGGCACGCTTTTGTTGTTGATTTTAATTGCCGATCGACGGATGGCCCGGAAGCGCCATTTTGCTGCTGGTCGGCGGCGACGGCCATTTTGGGAAAACTGCGACGCCATCGAGCGATCGGACGGACGGACAGACGGACGATTGTACTCGTCGGTCGCTTACTATACTTTCTCGTGTATTTCTTATCGCTCGAGCGTTGATTCAATTATAATTGAAATCAATTTGAGTTCTTATTTTCTTACTTTTTCTTTTGTGGATACAATGCTGTGTCCAGGGGGTCGGGGAGAGGGGGGGCGGAGCAAACGCATTGGCCCGAGTTAAGTTTTTATTTGTTGCGTTGCTTTCATAATGCCCTTGAACCTGAATCGCATGCCCGCAGTCGGCTATATAGAGACAGAGACAGATACGGAGGGAGAGAGAGAGAGAGATGTAGTACATAGAGTATAGACCTACTACTAGATCTATCTCTCATGTGTGCATGCAGTTTGCAATTGAATTTTGTGTGCCATAGTGCACCAATTAAAGGATAACAAACGTAGTAAACAAATCTCAATTGTTATTCATGAGCGGGGCTTTCCATTCCATTTCGTAGTATTATCACAGATCTAAAGAGCGTTTATTTGTGCAGATATTTCAATGATTGTAGCTAATTAAATGAATAGATTGCTCTAGAACACGTTTATAGATCTATCTTTCATTATCTTTCGTCTTTAATTTAATAGAATTTTAATTAAATTTATGTACAAAAGATTTATAGATCTTTCACCACTAATTAAATTGAATTTCGAAGAAATATTCAAGAGACTTTCTTCATTCAAAACTCTAATATTTTCTTGCGCTTTTCTTAGTCCTTTTTCTACCTAATATTTCACTTTAAATTGACCCAAGTCTTAGATCCTTCTTTTAATGACAGGCCCAGTGCCGTGGCTTCATTAATCGACGCGACATTTTATTCCCAAGAAAGATATTCCTTTTTTTATAGACAGTTTTCCTTCAACAAATTTTCCGACACTTGAGACGCGGACGCTCAACGACGTTGAATCGACTGATAAAAAGAACTGCGCCAAAATGATATTCTGTTCTCCGTTTGTCTCCGGCTCTGTGTCCAAAACTAAGCCCCCGAGCGACGCGTCAATGAAGATGTAGATACAGTACACTTAGTATATATACTATATGTAGTCCGACATACAATATGACTGTCTTTTACGGCTGTACGACGACGATAGCCCACGAAGATGTCGTCGTCGTTGGATGTGTCAAACTATAAAATTCATTTAAATCATAATAAAAGGTACCCGCGAATATTCTTGAAGTGCCAGCAAAATGCCGGGTTGTCTAAAGAATTTACCCCTCCAGTTAATCTTGAGAAAGATGGAGAGTGTTCTAGTAGAAATATCTAAGGGAAGACCCAAGGAGGGTGTCCCTTAAGTTCCTAAGAGAACCACCCCCATATCTTTCTGAGAAAATTGGTTCTGAAATTGGGTTGCGGGAACCCCTAACGATTATGGGGGCGTTTGGGGATTAGAAACCAGTTTTGATCTCTTGTGTGTGAATGCGCCTCGTCACATTTTCTGCAAATTGGTTGCTATTTTTATCGCATTTTTTTGCTGTCGTTAATTGTGTGTGTACATTAATTTAAAAATCTTGTCCGCAATCCTAAAGCCTTTTAATGTTTCTCGCTGTAGCGTGAAGTCATCTGTCTAGCAATTTGTTTAAACAAATCACAAATTTGCCCGGGCGCTCTCTCATCTCGAAAATCTTTTGATTTGATTGATTGTCGTTTGTCAATTTGGTTTACCAAAAAACGAGTTAAAAAATTGCCTGTCCCCCGTTTGATTGTTGAGCTTTTTATTGTTTATTGTTTTTTAATCATAACGTTTATTGTCTGTGTGCCGTGGACCATTGTGCCAGGGGGGGCTTGGACTTTATTTCCCACGCAATCGGATCGACAGATCTCTGACGCTCTAAAAACCAAATTCAGAATTTGAAATACGATTTGTTGTGATCTGATCTGTGGGATTATGTGAACTTTGAAACTGGCGTCACAGTGGGTTTTTTTCGGGGTGTTTAATGTATGCAAAAAATGTGATATTAATTGTAAGATTTCTCAGAATTTAGCAGGTGATTGGGGGATTAATTTAATTGAGAAGCTATTTCATTCTTTCAATAGTTCTTTCTCTGAGTTTAACTTCGATGTTCGAGAATTAATTACTATATACTTTTCTTATACTCAGAAACCATCAATCGATTCCCTATATGAAGTGTTCATAATTCATTCATAATTCTTTATGAAAGTCATATCTTATTGAAGGGAAGAATCCTTTCATATTAACAAAGAAATACCATTCCTTTTGCATACTTCATAGATATTATACCCACATTTCTTTACTTTTACAAACGAGAAAAACTTTCATTCAAGAGTTACACAATTTTGAATTAAAAATACTTTTGTTTTCTACATTTGTTCTGTATTTCCCCCTACTATTAACGACTGGGAGGGCAGCGCGTGCCTCTGAGCCTTGCCTGCGGCTCTGCAATTATCCCCAGACCTCTGCCAAATGCACTTATAATTTGCATCACACCTACTGTTAGAGAGAGATTGCACAGTTCACACTAGCCGTAGTTGACGAGCCGCCCCCAAGGGCAAACATGCAACAATTTGTTGCAGTGGCTGCGGCTAACAGACATTTAATTTGGCTAACGATTTGGCCCATTATCTATTGTTGTACAGGAAGCTCTACCGCATTCGGGGGAATACAGTATAGCTAAAACTATTATATAGATCTCTATAGTACAATGGATGCCTCGGGGGCGACATCTGAACTTGACATCTAACGGTGGCCCCACTTTTCATACGTGCTTCCTCTGTGGTCTGTTCTTTTCAGCTGCTCTTCCCGCTGAACTACAGCGAATTGCTGGGCAAAGTCGATGTGGAGGCCAATGTGGAAGGCGGCGGTCCATCCGGTCAGTCGGGTGCCATACGCTGGGGCATTGCCATGTGTTTGCGCAGCTTCGTTGATCAAGAGATGATTGAGTCAATGCGTCTGGGTAAGTTCTGATGCTGAACCTCCCTCCTCTACTGCTCTATCTTTTTGCCGCTAATTGTTGCCATTTATGTTGCATGCTTTTATTGCAGCCGGTCTGCTGACACGTGACTATCGCCGGCGGGAGCGCAAGAAGTTCGGACAGGAAGGAGCACGTCGAAAGTACACGTGGAAGAAGCGCTAAGGCGGACACAGGTCTCTCACGTTGCATTTCAGTTTAAAATGTTTAATAAATATCAAACTATGTTAAAGACTGTCTCCTTCTCTACATTTGGTTGAGTGGCCTGAGGCCCAGTAGCTGCATCCCCTGCTGAAGGGTCCGCTTGGCGGCTTGGAAGAGCAGCAAACGCTGTGATTGCTTCAGCGGACAGCTCTCCTGCTTTACAGGTAAACGTTTCAGGGCACGACTTGTGGCATTGCTAGTGGAGGTACAGAGAACAGATTATATACTTCTGGGTATATAGGATTCTTAAGGATACGCACCACAAACCAAATAAATAATTAACGAGAACACACGCCTCCAATTGCTCTTTGGATTGCCAAATGGATTGATCAAAACGCGCCAGCTCATACAGCAAATCCAAGGCATCCACTGGCTCCTGGCTGTAATGCTGCCAATCGGGTCTAATGTCCTCCAGGTCTATATCCTTGAAGTTCTGCAAAAGGCTATGCAGCCGGCAGTGTGTGTACTGGAGCTTAATGCCCGTATCCCCATTGACTTGAAGGGCATGCTGCCAGCTGAATTCATGATCGCGTTGCCGACGCTGCTTGAGGACATTCACGAGGACGGCGGAAACACCCAGGATATCACAGACATCTTCATCGTCCAGAGAGCTATTCGATCTGGTGGCTAAAAAAATGATTATCAAGAATGAATTCTTATAGAATGATGCTTTGCCGCTACATACTTTGTGTTTGAATACGCTTCTCTCGCATCACATCGCGTGCTTCGTCCAGGACATCCCGCAGAAAGATTGCCTTGCCCTGGCGCGTGCTCATACCATGAATCCGGCCGAATTTCACATGCTTCAGCTGCTCCAGACTCAATCGCTTGTCCAAGGCAGCCGTTGTCTTGAACAAGGCATTGAAATGATCCGCTTGGCCATTGTCCACCACATAGAGAATGCGGGAGAACTGCAGACGCGAGTGACGCTCGAGGAGAGCAGCTATATCCCTTGCCAGATACAACGTGGAGCCATCGCTTTTGATCACTGGAATGCGTCGATCATCCACCACCACTATCTCGCGGCCATCCACTTCTCGCTGGAGAAGACCTGCAGACCGCAGCTTCTCCAGAACTTCACTGATTTGCTGCTGGGAGTACTGCGACTCCCATTCGTAGCTGTCAAAGTGGACGCCCAACCGATTGTAGACCCCCGAGAGCTCTTCAGTGGTGTACTGTCGATACTGCTGCCATTGTTGGGCCATCGCGTCGTCTGTTCCTGCCTCCAGGGCTGTGAAAAGGTCTCTCGCTCGCTGGGCAATCTCTGGGTTCTCCTCAGCCGCTTTATTGGCGGCCACATAAGATCTGTAAAGCGTCTCTATGGGTGCTCTCTGCATATCCTTATCGCTGACATTGGTCAGCTGAACGCCAAGTGCTAGGAGCCCAAATTGTGTACCCCAATCTCCGAGGTAATTAAGGCGCGTGGTGCGGTATCCCAAATGCTGGTGGAGATTGGCCAGCACATTGCCAATGATCGTAGAGCGCAGGTGGCCCACATGGAAAGGCTTGGCGATATTGGGGGAACTGTACTCCACAACAACATGCTCGTCGCTCGGGGAGAGTGGCAGAGCCTCCGGCTGTCTTTTCCGGAGTAGCTGTTCCACAAATGACTGCGGCTGCAGCTGGAATTCCACTTTGGCGGCACTGCGTCCAGCGCTGGGCACTACACGCACTTTCTCTATGTAGGTGGCATCGAAGGTGTGACTCCTCAGGGAATCCAGCAGCTCCTGCTCCTGTTGCGCAATGGAAGCCGGCAGAGTCCATTCCAGAGTCGGTCGCTGGGCATTTTGCAGTTGCTGCTTCTTCAGGGGCACTTCCAGGGCATGGTAAATGTTCTTCAGCTGCGGCAGCTACAGGAAAGAGTCTCGGGAGAGTTAATAAACTGATATTTTATGGTTTTAAGAGCTCACCTGCTCGGAAATAGCGCGACGAATCCGTATCATTTCATTTGTAAACAAGTTTAACCCAATTTACCCCCCTCTATTTAAACAGGGAAGCGACATGAGTTCAATCGCATTGAAAAATACTGCTTGTAAGTTCTTCTTGTAGATCCATCCTATCATTCGTCTGCACTATAAATACACCATGATCTTTATTACCTGAACAGCGCTAAAATTACGCCAGATTCATAATTTTCGTTTATGTATTTAAATATGTACATACCTACTGGCCGACAAAGGGTTAATAGTTCCCTGTTTATGATCGGAAACACTAAACACTAGTGTCGGAAATCATATTCCTCGATGTTGATATTTGATCTGATGATACCATCTAGCTAAGACTCTCAGCCCTGTACACATAATTTAATCCGATTTATGAATCAATTTCCTACAAGAAATGCTAATTTCTTTGATCGAAGATTTTAACAAAAAAGGTAAAAGCAGTTTCGTTTCATTCATAAGCAAAATTCTGCATGTTAGACATTGATATTTTTGTGCGATAGGCAGTACTTGAAATCGATACCAACAGTATGGTGTTGTAAAAAGATCAAAAAAAGTTATCGATGGCTTTAAAAGTATAATATTTAACAATGTTTACCAAATGTTAAAATAAATGTAAAGAATGTTAATTTTAAGGCCTACTACTAGGCCTTTTTAACTACTTGAAGTGAGAAATGATCAATCAAATATTTTGGAACTTCGACGCCCCTGCAAACATATGTTTACTCTCCCATTTCCAATCAAAATTTCCATAAAGCGGGTAACTACCCCGCTAACCACCGGGTTTTCGCGACCGAGAGATGGAGAACTTCCAAGCCCTGCGTCAACTCCAACGCCGACGCGCTGGGGGGCTGCTTCACTACTGCTGCTGGGGATTCTCGTTGCAGCACTCAGCACTTTACGTTCACAGTCGTGTTCGTACCGTCGTCGAGTGGCCAACGTTTTTGCGGTGAAAAAATCCAAGCAAAACCAAAGGAGAAGCAATACCCATAGCACCAGCAGAGTCCACAAGCAGCAGCAGTGCAAAACTCAATTCAAATTGAAAAAGTGTGTTTTCCTGTGAACCTCTAATATATGTTATTGTTGTTGTTGTTGTTGTTTTTGTATGCCCCAGTAGCCCCCCTTCACGACGGGGTAAACCACGAAAAAGTCTCGCTCCAGTGGCCATATCCGAAGAAAAAAGAAAGAAAAACCAGAGAGATTATCGCAAAATTGCAGTCCAAATGCGAGGCGGCAAAAAAGTATTGCATACCACAGGGCTGTCATGAAAAATAGATATCGATTTGCCAGGGCATAAAAATAAAAGGCAGTACAACGAGAACGAGCGTGTGGGAGGGGAGGGTGTTGTGCTATGGGATTTTCATAGCCAATAAAAAATTGTTTTTCCCATTGCCATAATCCTTTAATTGGCTAATTACTAGGATATTCCGTGGGTTTATACCAAAATTTTCGAAGACGAGTTCTGCCCCTGGGGTGTGTGTGCGTGTTTGTGCATGAGATCATCAGTGGAAGAACGGTAAAAACAGAAGTACCGTTGATTGGCGCCTGCTGGTATGCAATGCCTTTTCTCACTCCTTTTTCTTCATTTTCAAAAACCAGGCAAAATCTCATCCAATTTTTCGGCCTATGACAATAACACAAACGCACTTTCTTCGCTACGCATTATCCAGGTGCGTGTGCGTATAGAGAGTGAGCGAGAGAGAGTGATAGAGAAAGGGAGAGAGAGAGGAGTGCAAAGGACGAGAGAGATATATAGAGATAGAGCGGAAACGGAAGCGAACTGAAAGCGCGTGTGATTTTGTGTCCCCCGTTTACATATACATACATATATGGTTGTTGCTCCCAAAAGTAAAGCCCAAAACAAATAAAAGCAAAAAGCAATTAAATAAGTAAACTTAAAATTTAAGAAGGAAGAATATACATAAGCCTACGTGCGCGTGTTGAATTTAATTTGTATTTTCTGGTACAACATCAAAAGCATTTCCCTATGATTGGCTCATTCTGGAATCTGTGCAGAGCGTGCCCATCAATGCCGGTAGACAAGGTGAGTTCCGCATCCAATCTTTTATAACCATTTGAAGCCCATATTCGTCCGACTGTTTTTAAGAGTCTCGTTCGGTTAGCCTCTTAGCCCACTTTGCAGACTGCGAACATTTGCATTTATATCGTCACACAGTGCCTTTCTTTTGATTTATCGTCGACAGTTGGGTCTGTCTTCTGTTGGAGAGTGTGTGTGTTTGTAATGGATTTTTATTGCAATCTTGCAGGCGACAAGTGAATGGGGATGTTTGGGGTGGTGGGCGATGGCGGATGCAGTGTCTCGAAAATGGGGTGACTCGAAGCCGAAGCCGGGCCCTGAGTTATGACTCGACCAAAAAGAATTGTGGGATTAGGGTGCATTTTTGATTTCGGCGGAAATATATGAATATTTTATATTACATTTTGGGCTTGTTTTTGGGGTTAGAAGTACATTCTCCAGGGCCATTAGTGAAATTAATCGTAAATAATGACTTTCATAATTCAACAAAATGATGGTCGGTATTTCTAATGAAATTCTAAAGCGTCGGATAAAGTGATTATTCACAATTTACTGAATAATGATTTTGGAATATCCTTTCGCCTCTTTTATTCTACCATTTGGTGCCATCATCCATCTCTTTTGATTTCCCTTTGGTCACATTTCTGGCAGTTCTTTCATAACTTTGATCAATATCACCTTACAATCCTTGGAGTGTCATTACAGTCAGGCCCAAAGCCGAAGCCCGAGCCACAGAGTCATGCAACATTCTTCGTACTTACTTTTGCAGCCAGAACTCAGCTCCAAGCGAAAACTAGACCAAAAAGAATATATGTATTTGTAGGCCTGTGAAGACATAAAGTAAATAACAAAAATATATTCTCTGGCTGGAGAATAAATTAACTGACATTACGGCCGACACCGAGCGCATCAGCGAAACGCGAAGTAAGCCGAGAAACACGGGCTAGAAGACCAAGGCAAAGAAAAATGGCCAAAAAGGCAGGCATAGGAGACCGCCCCCCAAAGAAAATCAATAGCATATGGCTTGTGGCACAGACAGCGGTGCGGTGCCACACGGCGGCCGGGGGCACGGGTACTCAGCCAGCTGTGGCGGCCGGCCGGGGTGCCACGGTCGCCCATGGACTATGGGGAGCCACCGGCAGCAGGACCGACACCGAAATGAATGTCGCCACTCACTGGAACACTCACTCAATGGAATGGAATGGACACGACACTCACTCACTCACTCACTCACTTTGGAAGGAAGTTCCACTAAGGCCATTCCAGTGGCTGTGCAGAACAGCTGATTCATCAACATGTCAGAGGAAAGAGCATTCTATAGATGGGAGAAGGCAAAAAAAAAAAGAAAAATGCAATTCGCTGGCCAATTTCAAAGTACAAAACTTTACACAAATTCACATTGAGCCACACACAAAAGGTTTTACGCGCATGTGCAACGCAGACAGAGAGAGAGAGAGAGGGAAGGGAGAGAAAGAAATACCAGAGAGAGTACTCACCCAGAGAGGGAGAGCAGCTTTTCAGCCGGCGTTTTATTCAAAGTTCTTGTTGTTTTTGTGCCGCTTGTTCGACCATATGACGTACAGCAGTGAAGGAAAATTGCCTTGCGGTATTACATCAGCGGCAAGGCAGCAGTCAAAAGTTTTTATTGCAACACCTTGCCACCCCCCACCGGACTGCTTCTTTTCTCGTGTGGCAGCAGCAACAACAACAAGTGCCGGCTATGTGTCGCCAGTCAGTCCATCAGTCGTTGCCCATCGATTCGGCCGCACATATGGGGGCTCCTTGTACTGCTGGCTCTGCTCCTTCGGATCGATCCCTGCTGTCAGCTGGGCGTCGGCCCCAGGAACTGCTTCTGCCTCTCCATAAGTAGTTTCAGTTACTCGTATCTTATGCTGGGTTTATCGCCAGTCCCACAGTCTTCAAGCCCCAGTCGCAGCCACATCCGCACTTGTTGGAGGTTTCTATGGCAGCATTGTCTGTGGCTGTGGCTGTGGGGCTGCTGCTGCTGTCTTTTGTTCCTCGTCTTATCTTATGGGAGCAGGAAACTGTGGGGATAAGGATGAGGATGAGTCGTCCTGCCTGACAGTTTCCACTTTCCACTTTGAATACTAACCAAATTCATTTGTCTTCTCTCTCTCTTTTTTTTTTTGGCACATATTTTTGTACGTGTTGGCATTTTTGTGGGTGGAAGTGTGGCAGAAGTGTTTCCATTAGATATTTTTATGGTTGCAAATCCGTAAAGGAAATTAGATTTGAAAATAAATAAGGGATGTACATATGTACATAGTAATAGAATAGAAAGAAATGGAGAAGAATAAATTGAAGTGGATTGAAGAATATAAGGAAATGGAATAGATGGAAGTGGATTGAGGAAAGAAAAATGGTCTCTACGAAATGTACAAATCACTGAATAAATCCCAACTTCCCAAAGATCTTTAAAGAAACAAAAACCTAATCAAACAATTTTCACACTTCAAAAGCGATTGATTTCTAAGCTTTTCACTGCAGTGCAAAGCCTTCATTTATGCTTATATAATGGAAAACTTGGCATTTCAATTGTCTACCAAAGTGTGCAGTCCCCAGTACCAGTACCAGTCCCAGTCCCAGTCCCAGTCCCCCATTTCAATGCATCTAACGAAGGCAATTTGCGCATATTTCTACCACTGCAGCATAATATGGAGGGAACTGGGCAAAGTGTGAGGTAAACCAGAAGCAAATTGAAAGCTGAATCCTCAGAGGATTTGGGAGGAACGAAAAGTTCTTTTGCTGAACAGCAATCTCCATGAATCACAACGGATGGGAGGAGCACAAAAGTTTTCTAATTACTTGAGGTCAACATTTTCGGTTCTGTGAAATCAAAAATGTAAACTACACTCCTGTTCGGCCTCTGTGAGAGTTGAAATTTAGCGCCAGCTAATGGCAAACATTTCTGAAGTGCACTTTATATAAGCTCCTCCTCCTCTGCTGACAGGTGAAATGCTGAAACA